CTTCTTCTTCTTCTTCTTCTTCTTCTTCTTCTTCTTCTTCTTCTTCTTCTTCTCACCACCTTTTTGTTTTAATCTAAATTTCTACTCATTCTCATAGCTCTCATTGCACGTTCTCACAGCTCAATAATAAACACTACAAGATGGGGACAAAACATAATTGGCTAACTCTCTGGTCATATGACCTGTTTGTGTGTAGCATCACGTGATCTGCTCTATTTATAGACTGCAAGGCTACCCCATTATGATAACCATAATAATATACTACATGATGGACTGACCTGGATATGACAGAATGTGCAACGGCAGCTCGCGACCGTGAAAGATGTAGAGTCATTATACGTCAACTTCTGAGTTAGTCAGAAATGACACCTACGGGTATCCAGGTGTTACACGCTCTCTACAACACGATTTATTAATATTGTAACTGTGTTAAGCTCTTTTCAACTCAATGTTGATCATATGTGAGGCAGCGTGGTGGAATCAGGCTCTCGTCAATTTTTGGGCATGTAGAGTTATTGGCATCATCGTAAAGCTTGTTCATTTGTCTTTATTTGGATGAAAAAAAATATTCATTTATCTTGAATACAAATTGAGATATTTGCGAATGAAGGAGATAGGGGTCACCGGTCACCTGTTTTCAGAAGTAAAATTAGTGAGAAAATGTCCGACAAAGATTAGTTATTTCTTTAGCTTAGGAGTCCGTGGTAACTGAAAATTTACACTTTTTGTGCCTTTAATCAACATTTTTCAGAAAAATCCACACAGAAATGAGTTCTTTAATGGGCATGAAAAGTGCTGAATCAAAAAAAAAATTTGATAGAAATTCTCAAACCTGCATGTTTCTTGACTTTGATTATTTTGACGAGAGCCTGATTCCACCACGCTGCCTCACATATTATAAGAGGAGGGCTTCTTTGACCGTGTCTGTCAAGGCAGCTGGGGCTGAGAGGGACGGACACAAAAGTCCCAATGTCAGGACGGAGATACTCGATTCAAAACTTCCCAACTCCGGAATCGATCTGGCATCTTCTGCTGTTGCCGCCAGCAAAGAGGCTAACCGTTCCACAAAAGACGTGGCTCGGTCCAAGATGTCTGCTCTATTGTAGGTAGGTACCGGTACAGTCTCCCGCGTATTTAGTAGTCACAGTAGGGTATATTATAGTGGTTAGAGGAAGCCACTATGCTATTTTAGAATTACAAATTTCTACGTGGGTCGTTGGCAGGTGCTCTGGTGGTGTGGTTTGCTTCTTCTTTCCTGTTAAACATCTGTCGTCCTTATCTTTCCTCCTCCTTTTTTGAGTTTGTTACTCTCTTGTAACACCTCTATCTTCGGCACTTAAATGACCTTATTGTGTTGAAAGTACCGTAAAACAAAACAAAACACAGTTCTATCTACGCAGTACCTAGTATTGAGAAATTTGACGTAAACAATTTGAGTTTTCCAACATGCCAAGCTATTTCGAAATCAATTCTTTGAGATAACACTATGAATAGTCTTACAATTTTGAAATAACAGATAAAACATTTGGTTTTTTACCTCATAGTAACAACGACCAAAAATGTCAGATAAAATATCGTAATTCTGGGGTTGCGACTGGTTCGTCCCTTTTCTCATGTTTCTCTCTGCTGTTTCGGTCTGTAATTTTCACCGACCGCTCGCCTGTCCCTATTCCCCCGCTCCCCTCCCCCCTCACCTTTTTCCTCAAACTCACTAAATGTTTCTTATCAACTTAATGGTCTTCTCTTTTCTCAGACTGTTTTGTTTTTGTGTGAGTTTTTTCTGTTAGAGTAAAGAGAAACATATCGGCACAATAGCCATCATTCATTAGTGCTGTGGAAGCGTAAGGCAGAACGATATAAACAACAGAGGGAAAGAAAAAAAATAGGACCTACCAGTGGAGCCCTCCAACCTCTCACACAAACAGATGAAACAACAGAGCAACAGAGGGAAGCATAAGGACCACCCACTACTACCCCCTCCCACCCCCCAAAAAAAACAAACAAAAAAACAAAACAAAACAAAACAAACGAAATCTACGAAATAGCAAGACGCTCGTGTCGCTGCTTAAACAACTCTCCTTCGGAACCACCCGCTATAAGAGTTTGAATTCTCGTCGCCTTCTGGGTGTATTACAGAATTACCATATTAATAGTCGCTTTCGATCGGCGGGTATGTCGGCACTGCAATCTCTGTGAGAGGATGGATAGGGTGTGTGTTTATGTGTGTGTATGTGTGTGTGTATGTTTTGGTGTGTATGTGTGTGTGTGTGTGTGTGTGTGT